TGCGTATTGCATAAATCGATTATGGCTTAACACACATCATTTACACGATAATAATTATTATGATTATTAACAATAAGCTGCAGGTGTCGAGAAATGTTTCCTAAAAACGCAGCCAATTGATTGCAACAACAAACAAATGAAAAGAAAAAAAAAAAGGAACAGAAAAATAATTAAAACATAAACCAATAACAATACTAAGTAATTAGAAACAATAATGTACTATAATGCAGATACAATATATACACTATATATACCTACAATATATGCCTATACCGACAAATGAAATTGAATGAATAATATTACATTATACATACAACATAGAATATATTGTAAAAGTTAAATCTAACTAAATACATACAAATTAAAGACGTAGTAAGCACCAAACAAATAAATAAAAAAACTAAAAAATTATAATGAAAATAAATATTAAGCAGCTACGCTAATAAGCTTATGCTGCATATTATAATAATTTTTAAACAACATTTAGTTGGTTAACGATCAAAAAATTATGTTTTAAAAGCTATCGCAAATATAACTAATTTTGAGGTTATGGTTAGATAAACGATTCGCCATATTTGATTTGCAGCTGGAACAAGTTATTTGTTTGGCTTTAAGCTTTTTATTATTAAGCTCGACAGTTTAGCGTTGTTTACACTTAGTAAAAATAGTGTTTAAAGATTCTAGAAAACAAAGACAAAGTGCTTTATATTTTCTCGATCTGCACGTGTTTGAATTATCTAAATCTTGTACGAGCAGCTGAATTCCCAACATTCCACATCATTCAACGATCTTAATGCATTCTACAAAAAGCTCGCAATGAGTAATTGCAGTATAATACGGTAAATTCAAATACTGAAAGTACTTGCATATGCCGGCCGACTATCGGTTAAAAAGTTACAGCTGCGATATGCGCAATCATCGGCTTGGCAATGTCACATCTCTAATTGAAGACGGCAACCTAAGTAGGTAGGTGGGCCAGCCTGGCTGGAAAACCACCCCTAAGGCAGGCACGTTTAGGTAGCAAGGCCTCTGAAATTATGGAACCTGGACAGCTGCTGGTCAGGCTCTATTTGTTTGGCAGTGTCTAAAATGCGTTGCGCCTGCCAACAGCTAAGCGACAGTACCAGAAATTGTAGCACAGCTGAGAAATGGCCACAAAACAGGAAACAGGTAAGCTGTGAAGGCAGCGCTATGACTTGAAAGCCAGTGTGAAACGTTGCTACTCCCCAGAGCCAAGGTCAACCTCTCTGCTGCAGCTAAACGATGACGTTCTGGCCTTGATAGTGGCCCAACTAAATGTGTACCAACAGTTCGAGCTAACCCAACTGCACAGCCGCCTGAGGAGCATTGTCCAGTCGCTGTGGCGCACGCGCGTGCACAGTGTGGTGCTGCAAGATGAGCTGCTGTGCCGTGCATCCTCGCGCCACTTTCAGGCATTCATGTTGGCACTGGCGCCGCATCTGGAGCGTCTCAGCTGCCATCGGCTGGATGTGAGACGTTTGCGAATGCTAAGTGAACACTGCTTGCCGGGCGTCAGTTGCCTGGAGTGGCTGGGCGATGACCATGAGCCGCGACGTGGCCGCGTGCGTTTCGTGGACGAGGATGTGCGTCTGCTGAGGCGTGTGTTTCCCTCGCTGCGCAAGCTTAAATTGCGTGGCTGCCAGGTGACGGGCAAGTATCTGCATGAGCTGGAGCTGCTCAACGAGCTGTGCCTGGACGACTGTCAGTATCTGGAGTCGCAGTACTTTCGCGACATCTTCCGGCAGCTGAAGCTGCGCAAGTTTGACATTATGGAGGACTGCGATGAAGTGAACTGCTGTGATTTGGTTGACGTGCAGCTTTGCCCCACATTGGAGCACATTAAGATTGCCGATTATCATCTGTGCATGGAATCGGACATAACACAACAGCTGCTGCGCCTGCCGCGCCTGCACAAGCTCTCCATATACTCCAAGAATTTTGTCTTCGACGTGCTGGCGCGCATAGCGCGACCCAGCAATGCCGCAGCTGGCGGCATCAAGCAAATCGAAGGCTTTCGCTTTAGCGGACTTCTTCACGACTATGAACGCTTCTTTCGAGAGCTCAGCAATCTACGCCAGCTGCGCCGATTGGAGGTGCACGGACAATCGGAGGAGGGACAGCTACAGTGCCTCAGCGATCAAATGCTCTGCCCACTGGCCGCTCAGCTGCCAGAGCTTTGCGAGCTGCACCTGTGCGGCTATCAGCTGGAGAGTGCAGCAGGTCTACTGCAATTTGTCATCAACTGCCGACAGCTGCGCATCTTGGATGTGACAAGATCTCGTTGCATTGGCAATGCATTCATCGGCCGTTGTCTGGCAGTGCTGTCCAAGCAAAGCTGGCGCACCCAGCCGCTAGAATTGTGGATCCGACAGAGCGACATTAATCCCAGCTGCGTGCAAGTAAGCGTGTATATACTTTATATATGCATATATTGATTATATTATTGATTTGCCTTGTAGAATCCCCGCTATTTAGTCAGCGACAGATCGCTGCGAATCGATACCAAACGGATGACACCGAACATCGATTACATGTCAAGTGTGCTCAAGTTTAGCTTTGTAAGATGATTTGTTACCTGTGCCAACTGTGTGCCTGACTCTGCATATGCCCTGTCCATCATAGTATATATATATATATATATTGACTTAAGACTGAATGGAAAGCGAAAAGGATTTGTCGCTTTGGAGGCGATTACATTAATTGAAAAATTTAAGAGACTTATTATTATCTCTCGCAGTTAACTTATAACTAATTGGTTTAAATTCAAATTTATGCTTATATACAGTCAATTGTTTGTGCAAGCAGAATTCTCACAGCCCTATCTTGGATTATACGATAATATTTCATGAGGTTCCCATTGAAAAACGTTGTTACACTGTTGCGCATATAAAAATATATTTATGTTTAAGGCATCATATAACCAATATACGTACAGTATATATATGTTAGTGTATGGAAGTTGTTGTTGGGATTGTTGTTATAGCTGTACCCTCCTGCTTTTTATCAGATCAACGCCATCGGGCATTGCGTTCAAGTGATTGGAACGTGGCTCTTATCAGTGCACGGGCCCCAATAGGCGAACGCACAAAATGCTGGAAAACACACACACAAAAACTTGTTAATTTGATGTTGGTGCAGTTGCTCCGTTGCCCAGTTGCCGATATGTTTGCTGGCCAGGTTAGAGTTGAGGCGATAACGATTGACTGGAGCGGGCGAGTAGCAAGTGACGGGTGCTGTTTCCATTTCGGGGAAGGGGGTCGTCTCTGGCCAGCTCTGGGCCACTAAATCGTTTAAAGATAACCCTTGCCGAGATTATGGTTAGCTGTTGAACCAAGCCAACTGCCATAAAATGCCACTAAGTACAAACATTAAAATTAAAGCTGAATGGTCAGTACACTGCTCAAATTTTTTGTTGCAGTGCCCAACTCCGAAGCCATTGACCGATTCCCTACATATAGGGAATATATATATATATATATACCATTCAAGTTGAACTGATAACATTGCCGTGCCGCAGATGTGGGCCATGCGGCTCGATCGCTTCGATTCATTTCGTTGAATGCTTCCGCCGAAAGTATGCAAAGCTTATTTTTCTCAGTGCATCAATTAAGTTTGTTAGGTGACAGTATCAACTCTAGACTTGTGCCCTGCCTGCGCTTACTTCGCCACGCTGCATAATCATTCTGAGTTTTCTTTCTTTTAATTTTACTGTTTGTCTGTTTGTCTGTTTGTTAAGTACTAATATAGAGGAATATGCTCCTTTAAGTCGTCAGTCGTTATCAAGTCGGCGTTTAAAGCGCATCGTATTTTGTATTGAACGCACATCGAGATCCGGAAAATCTGCTGATCCAGTGCTCTTGTACGGTTCGAAATACAAAAAAAAATCAACAATATACAAAATCATGAGAGTCTCCAAGTCAATGGTATTTTGGCCTTATCAGTGAGAACAGTGAGTGCCAGCAAACTCTATACAACGATAACCCTTCTGGACCTTTAAGATTGGTCCCAGCCAGCCAGACGATCAACTAAAGACACTTGGGAACACCTTGCGGTTGTGTCAAAGAAAAAAAAAAAAAACGTGAATCATATTTTCGTGACGAAGCATTCAAAATTTAGCGGGCCATATACCCTGTAATATGAAAAACTGTTCAAGAAAAACGATCTTAAAACAATCACGTCTGTTTGTTGTGCCAAAAATAATTATTATTAAATAATTATTAAGGACATTATAATATTTCCCTACAATTTATTGCGCTATTTTTCAATATCAAAGACTAAAAACTCGCTTAATTAACAAAATTTTGGCATTTTGGTTTATGAATCAATTAACTCCAGTTTTTTGAAGCCTCGTCGAATTTTTACAAAATTTGCAATGGAGCAAACTGGTTTATCAAAATTCTATAACACAAATTCTTAATTATGGAAATTCTTAAAATTTGCATATTTCGATTGTCAAAGATTCTTATCAAAGATTCTTATCAGGTTATTATCGGGCTGGAAAGCAAAAGAAAATGTGAACTGTGCTGTGAAAATCTGTAGCTGCCAAGTCGATAAACAGCTTTATTATGTAAAAACGGAAAATATTTATATACAAATTATTATATTTGTGATCATTAGCTAGCCCAGTCGGCGGTCACAAACCGCAGGGCAGCCGGACGGAGGGGCGTGGTGATACGGCCTAAGCGTGTCCCAGAAGCATGTTCGTAACGTACATTGTAAGCCCAGAACTATTATAGCCACTCGGGTCATAAAAAGGGAAGCAATTAAATAGGTTTGGCCGAGATTGTTGAGCAGCTATTATGAATATCTATCTAAAATGATTTATGCCGGCAACTTGCATAACTTAGAGCATTGAATGGCTCGCATGCGACTGTTAATTGCTATTGATTTAAAATGACCAACTAAGAAATTGTGCACAATATTATTTATTTGCCTATTTGTATCGATTGCAGAACCAGTTAACTTATACGCTTGTCTAACTGAGCGAACGTTAGCAAATTCTAGACTTATTGCACTGCCAACCTTTGTGCTCTGTATGATATGATCGGAAAAAATCGGATTGCTTTTACCAGTCTGGTGGGTCTGCTGCTCGCCTCTTTGGGTCTAATCTCGGTTCTGAACTTGGAGCGCATACAACGACGCGCCCTGGAGTGGGTAAGTTGGCCGGAGACTTGTGTCAGCCTTTAACTCACTTTGTCCACATATATTTTGCAGTTCATGGTGCTGAAGCCCAACTCGATGCTGAGCAATCTGTGGCAGAAGCCCAGCTTGGACATAACTGCCAGCGTATACATCTTCAACTGGACGAACTCGGAACAGTTTAACAATCCGAATGTTAAGCCGCGTTTTGAGGAGCTGGGGCCCTACTGCTTCACCGAGACCCAGGAGAAGCTGAATGTGGTCTGGCACCCGGAGAACTCGACTGTATCCTATCTGCGCCGCAGCCATTTCTACTTCGATGAAGCAGCCAGCGCGGGCAAGCTTACGGACTCCATTGTGGCGCCCAATATGCTGAGTGTTGGTATTGTCAACAAAATCCAGAACTGGAACCCGATGCTGCGCACGCTGATGCTGATGGCGCTGAATATGAATGGCAATGAGGCAACATTCGTGAGGTCTGCCGATGACTGGCTCTTCAATGGCTTCGATACTCCTCTAATTAAGATGAGCAAAATGATACCCAATAACATGATGCCGGACTTGTATTTCCCATACGAACGTATAGGCTACGGTTATCCGGTAAGACACTGCCGGAACCCGTCCAATTCTTTACTTTACTTTTGTTTTGTTTCGTCCAGCGCAACGGCAGCACCCAGATCTACGGGCATCATAATGTCCATACTGGCCAGCAGGACTTTAGCAAAGTGGGCCAAATAGCACGCTGGCGTTACGACAATGTTTCGGCTGGTTATCCCAATTGCAAGCTGAGGGGCAGTACGGGCGAATTTCATCCCACTCCGCTGCGCCAGGGCGAGCCAATTTCATACTTTCTGCCCGATCTATGCCGTGAGATGCAACTGGACTATGCGGGCACAACGCTCTTTAAGGGCATCGAGGCGTACGTCTACAAGGGCACTGCAAGGAATTTAGCAAATGGTAAGAGGACTTCATATATTTAATAGAATCTCATAGAATCTTTATCAAATTTGCAGGCACTGATAATCCGGAGAACAGCTGCTACTGTACGGGCAACTGCAGGGAGGTGCGCTCCGGCCTGATGAATGTATCTTCCTGTTGGTACGATGTGCCCGTGTTCGCCTCATCGCCACATTTCTATAATGCCGATCCCTATTATGCGGACGCAGTGGAAGGCATGAAGCCTGACAAGGATCGCCACGAGATGAGCGTTATGCTAGAGCCCAGTACTGGCATACTGCTGGACATCAAGGCGCGGCTAATGATCAGTCTCCTGGTAGAACCGCGCAGAGAATCGTAAGTAGGCCTGGCAATTTCTACAGCGAATGATAAGCAGCAGATTTCTCGCCTCTTTCTAGCATCTTCCGCAAGTCACGTCGCAACTTCTTTCCCCTCTGCTGGGTTGACTATCGCTTGCGAATTTCATCCGATCTGGAATTCTATCTGAAGCTGTTGCCGATCTCAGCGCTCGTGGGAAAAGTCTGCGGTTGTATAGCCGTAGCCCTGGGCCTAGGGCTGATGCTTTGGTATCCGCGACAGATCCTTCTGCAAAGGCGCTACATGCGCAAGATCGATATCACCAATCTGGAAACGCGCATCCAAGCAGCCAGCATGGAGGTGAAGACCCATGCGGCCGAGGGATCCCCACTACTCGTGGGATTACAGTTTGTGGCCAGCTCAGGTGATGGGGATTGTGCAAGCTGAGAGCATTCGATTTGAATACAATGCATGTTATGTGATAAGAATACATTTCTAGGGTTCATTATGCTTAAGTCTGAGTTATAAGCGTGTAATGCATCGTCGAATATTTTGAGGTGTTTTCAAAACGAAGCTAATAAAATGGAATATCAAAATATTGCGATATACACATATATTAGAGAATATATCAATAAATTTACTGTTCCAATCAATTTATAAAGTGTTATCTTAGTATTTACTAGCGGGAATCCCCATTTAAGATGTGTCGTTTGCTACCCACAAAACCTCTCTCTCGCTCTCTCTCTCTCTCTCTCTCTCCCAACTAGTCACTCAGTAAGGATACAGAGTCCCATCGAATGCTATAGAATGTCCTACGATCATCGTAAGTTAATTATGGATCTCAATTAGCAATACTATTTGTTATTTTAGAAATCTTAACTCTACCCAATAATCGAGAAACCTAAAATTAAACTTGCCTTTCATTTATTGATAAGCATTTGATATATTAAACTGTACATACAACAGTGTGTGGTCTGATAAAATGTTAACATTCCAATGTTAAACTATATCGCGTTCGTGAAAACGGTGAAATAAATAATTCGTTAATTTATATTAAATAAAATCGAATTGTAACCGTTTTAAATCTACAATCTACAGTGAGCATATGCACAGTATTATAACCGTTTCAAAGAGATGGAACCGGTTTTTTCATGGATGGTCAACAAGCACAGCCAGAGAGCGATAGAGATGGAAAGAGATAAGTGAGAGAGCGGTAGCTCTTAAACAATGCGTACTCTCTGCTGCTGCTGGCACGCTCAATTGCTGCTCTGCATACCCTGCCATCTATTAGTTCAGTGGAATGTTAAGTTTTGTAGTACATGCGTGTTCATGCACAACGATTACCTACACCACTTACGGCATTCGTATTCATGTATTGGTAAGCTCGTCGGGTCCAAGGAGGAAGTAAGAGATAAGAAACGAGTGTGGTGGTGAAGAAATGATAGGAGATAATATAATACTTTAGTGCTTTTTACCGTATAATCACAAAATATTGTGCACAATAATATTCTGAATACCACACACTGTTCTAGTTATATTTATTAGACAATATCCATGTTTGTAGGGTATTACAAGGTCGACCAGCTGATTAACAATACTTTGCTGCTTGGTTTTAATGAAAAATGTATAATTGCTGCTTGGTGGGACTTTGAAAACAAAAAATAGTTTCAGTCGCAGAACAGGCGCAGTGCCGCTCAGACACGAAGATCAAACGTCGCGTGGCTATTTGGCCGAGTTCAAGATCAAGTTAACGGTGCGTCGTTGTCTACTGATTAAAACTAATGCGCGCGAGTGAGACAAAAGTATGCAAGAAATAGACGCCGCAATACAAACACAAATGCAGTAAAATCAGAAAGCGCATTTAAAGAAACGTTTCGTATGATACTGTCGCAATGAATATTTATATTCGTGTAAATAAAATTAATACCAATTGAAAAGTATTTGAAAACGAAAACAAAGTGTGCGATTGAAAAATGGCATGCGATACGAAGCATAAGAAGAAGCAGTAGAAGTGACAAGTGCAAAAAGTGTTAAACAAAGTCGCAGACGCAGAAAATAAAACAAACGCCTAAGAGCTAAAACGTAAGAAAAAAAAACCCTACGCATATACTAATTTGTTGTTGCTGAGAGCCAGTTGGTGTGTGAGAGTGTGTGTGTGTGTGTGAGAGAGAGAGCGAGCGTGCTCATCAGAGAGTACAAGGCGCGGGCGCAAGAGCGTTATTTGCACAGCGTTGGCTCAACAATCGTTCCTGTTAATATCGTTTTTAAAACATTTAACAAATATACAAATGTGGCTGTTTGTTGTTGTTAATGTCATTTGATTGAAGTTGTGACGCATCGTTAGTGAGTTTGCAGATTAAGCAAACAACAAATACAGATACGGACTTAGGGAATATACATACGTATGTATGTATGTCTGTTCATTTTGGCACATTGCACTGTGGTTTGGTCTATTTATAGGTGGATAATAGAACAACAACTAACTAAGGCATATAAACATAGCAAAACCGCATAACATGTCAACAGGTTGCGGAAGTGATGCGCACAACAACTCAAGGATTCCCGTGCAAGTAATAATAAAATCTATTCTTTTTTTTTCATTCAATTTATCATTTATAATGTTAATGCTATGCGTTGATTTTAATTTAACTGATGCCCTGCCCAGTAACAGCTAGATACAACAATGTTTCCGCCCCTTTTCATGACTAAGTGTTAAATTCGCGTGATTATTTTTCTGTTGCCACAAGTGAATTTGCACTCTGTTAAGAAAAAAAATTCATAATCTGTGTAAATAACGCGTAAAGTAATCAGAGCACACACACACACAAAAAAAGAGACGTCGTTGGGCGTTTCTGTTAACCGCAGGGATTTAACGGAGTGCAGCAACCTGAGCATTAAAAAACCGGTTTCTCCCAATGTTTATTTAACCTTGCTGCGTGTGCATCAATAACAAACGAACGCACATACATATGTACATATGTCTAGGAATGTTTAAATATTATTGCAGGCCTTAACGGCAGTATAGTAAAAATATCACTCCATTAACTCCCACTCCATTAAAAAAAAAGAAAAATAAACGAACCGGTTTAGAGCCTGACTTGAAACCATGAACAGCAATAACATTGAAACTTTCTACAAGTGTATTACTGGTGAGCTGTTCGAATTCTCAAATTTATTTATTATTAAGTATTAAGGGCAACACATACCACAACGTAAAACACATTGTAATATTTGCAATTACGACGCAGTATAGCTTCGCATCGCTGTGCTTCGGCTCGTGATCCGTTTTAGTATTGACACGGTTTCTCTTATGTGCCGCTCTTAAAGTTACTAGACGAGCCTTTGACGCCTTTAATAGCAGTAACGATAAGCCGTAGCTGGCCCATGTACACGTACATGTATGTGTATATGTATTGGACTTTAACATTCTCTTTTTTGGCTTATCTCTTTGTATGTGTGCAGGCAGCGTCAACGACTGCGGCGACGAGAATATACAAACGTTTAGCGTCAGTGCAGCGTAGCAAGAGCAAGAGAACAGGCGCACAACGAGCGAGCAGAGCTTCCTGCACAACTACAACCGCAACAAGAGTAACAGAAAAGGCCTCTAATACGGGCAAGGCCAGAGACGTTGGCAGTAATCGTCATCGAAAAACGCAACAGCAACAACAACAGCTAGAGATGACATCACGTGCTCGTCACTGTGCCTGGCGGCTGGGCATTGTCATCTTGGGCGCTTGCTGCATAGCCGCTGGAGTTTATCTGCTGCGCAACTGGATTGACATATTTACGCGCATGCGCGGCAAGGTACGTTGCATGATTCTTATATAATCACACAGTTGCTGTCTAGTTACATCTGTCATTGCTCGTCGACTCAAATTCCATCTCTAGATATAAGGGAAACATGTTCTTCCATTTCAGTCAATTTGCCAAAACGATGAGAGGTCAACTGAGCGTGAACCTCGCTCATTAGCATACAATTAGTGTACTGCCGGCGAAGGGTACTGGGGGTGGAGGGGGTTTTACCAGTTGTCTGATTCCAAATCAATTGGAATCAATTTCCACAAAGACACCATGAATTGAAAGTGTGCAGGTGTTCACAAAAAAGGAAAAAATAAAAAGTAGATAAGATAGTTTTTTATGGTCACATTACACTACGGCCTATAATTTGGCAGGTGACTAAGCTAGTTAGTCGAAAGTCGCGAGCAGCTGGTAGCTGGTATTTAGTCCCATATCGATTGATATATCATATTCGTTCATTGTGACATGAATCACTGGAACAGCTGCAAGGTTAATCGGGTCTCTGATCTATTTTGCAATTATGTTACCAGCAGAATATATTTACGTGCGCTACTCTGAATAATAAACAAACAATATCAGTTTTTTCCGTAACAACGATTTTTTTTTTATCTTATCAGCAACCATTTATCAATAGAGCTAACTGCCATTGGGCGATTAGAAACGAGGCCTGAATCGCTTGTTTTTGCTAATTTCTGTGTGTGTGTGTTTTTTATTTGTTTTCCTGCATTTCCTGCACGCCACATTCATAAAAGGCTTTAAGTGTTACACACAAAATCAGCCCTTGACCAAACACCTGTTTAACCAACTTGCATATCAGTGAACCCAGCAATCCAACGATTCGACCATTTAAACTAGCGCATATTTAAACGTGCCATTGTCACACACACACACAACACACACCAATCGCTTTTTATCAGCTAGTCATTTCCTGAACTCGAAAATATTGAATACATAAAAAAAAAAAAAAACGAAAGAAAATGTAGCTATAGATTATAGCCACAAACTTAAATTGCAAAATGGCCGCTACGGATTTATTCCAAGTGCTGTACGCCTAGAATCTTACCAAACGATGATTACATGCCGTGATGGATTATTGATGGATCGGCCGCCGGGCAAAGCTGATAACATGACACTCACATGACATTTGACTAAGCGATCGGGAAATTGCATAGATAGCCAACAATGTTGCGAGAGGTCGATCAAAACAGGCTCAATTCAAGATTCTGATTGTAAATCTCAATATAATTCGACACTTTTGAAATATTCTATTCAAGTTAAAGAATGTGGCTGCAAGCGGGTTGTATTGTTAACAAACCGATGGATTAATCATAAACCCCTAAGTCAGGTGTCCAGTTTGCGCAGACGCTTTGATCGGGCGTATGGATAAGGTAGATCTCCTCCTATACGCTTTCCTATATGTAAATGTCCTGCAGCCAGATTAGTTTCTGGTCAATAAAAAACCTATTTAAGGGGGGGGGGGGGGGGGGGGGTATATCAGGCGACTTCACCTTATCCAGTTGAATCTCAAACAGGCATATAAATGGGTCGATAAGTACATATCTCTCTAATCTTGAGCTCTCCGTCTAATTTATAGATTACTTGTTTTATTTGTAAAATGTTGTTCAAAACAAATAGCATTCATTGTAAAATCGAGTAGAACTATTTGGCATGTTCATTTGTCCATTCAAGTTTGCATAATTTTTCCATCATTTTCTTATCATATAAGTAAAATGTTGTATGAGAGCTATTGACATTTTTTATATAATTTAAACATTTGAGTATACTGAGTCTTCCATTTAAGCATTCATCTATAATTTACCATAATTGAAAGCCTTTTCATCTGATCAATGGCAATTTCAGGAAATGGCACTGAGCCCCACGTCGCCAGCTTTTGAGGGCTGGAAAGTGTCGCCGCTGCCGCTTAACTTTGATGTTTATCTATTCAACTGGACTAATCCGGAGGACTTATACGAGGGCTCCCCAAAGAAGCCGCATTTTGTACAACTGGGACCTTATCGGTTTCGGGAGAAACCGGATAAGGTAGACATCGAGTGGCACAGTCATAATGCTTCGGTGTCCTTTCGCAAGAAAGCCTATTTCTTTTTTGATGCTGCCGGCAGCAATGGCACCCTGCAGGATGTGGTGACCTCGGTCAATACAGTAGCACACGTAAGTTCGACTCTTGAGATGTTCAAATTTAGAGTTTCACTAACGATATTCTTTCCAATAATAGGCTGGTGCTCGACGTTTTGGTCAATTGAATTCGTTTTTTCAATTTATGGCATCGACCACGCTGAGCTCCACGCAGAAAGTGAGCGAGACGCGCACCGCCGAGGAGTGGTTGTTCAAGGGTTTCGTCAATTCGTTGGTGACGCTAGGCAAAATAATTAGTCCGGATGACGTGCCCTACGATCGGATTGGTTATCAGTATGCGCGCAATGGAAGCACCAGCTTTGATGGTGACATCAACATGTTCACTGGAGCCGATGACATTAGCAAAATGGGCCAAATCTATTCGTGGAATAATAAGACGCACACAGGCGCGTTTGATGGTGCCTGTGGCAAGGTTATGGGCTCAATGGGTGAATTTTTTCCGCCCAATTTGAGCACCAATGACAGCGTCTATCTATATATGCCCAAAATGTGCCGCGCCGTGCCACTGGACTTTACGGAAACAATCAGCGTCCATGGTGTCACTGCATACAAATTCAGTGGCACCAGACACGCTGTGGACAATGGCACCATGTATCCGGACACCAGTTGCCTGTGCGTGGACGGCAAATGCCAACCGGCTGGTGTTATTAATGTGGGTCGCTGTAACTTCAACACATCCATCTACATGTCCTATCCACATTTTTATCTGGCCGATCCCATTTATCTGGAGGCTTTGGATGGCCTACAGCCGGAAAAGGAGAAGCATGAGTTCTTCATGGCACTGGAGCCCAACGCTGGCGTGCCCATGGATGTGGGTGGTGGCTTCCAGGCCAATTATATGATGGAGCCGGTGCCGGGCGTTGCGTAAGTTTATCATTCACTTAATGGCAAGACTACCGCTAACCAGCTTATTCCATTTACCATCTTAGTCTCTATGCGCGCGTGCCACGCATTATGCTGCCACTTATGTGGGCCGAGGAGCGTGTTCGTGTCAGCGAGGAAATCGCGGCAAGCATTGGTCTGGTTCCACTCATTGTAATGCTCGGTCAGATATTTACGGGCATACTGCTTGCCGGCGGCCTTATTTGTACGTGCTGGTATCCAACGCGCCAGTTGACGCGTCTCTGTCATAGCGATGATCCCAAAGCCAAAGCGTCAATGCTTCGTCCGCTGACCACATTTGGCGCCGGCGTCAGTACGGCTAGCGCAACACCAGCTGTGCAGCAGCTTTTCCGCCAGACTGCCAACCAAAACGAACGTGTGGGCGTGCGTCTGTTAGATTACAGGCGCAGCTCGGGCATTGAAGATGGCGATGACGAGTGCAGTGGCGGCAACACGTCTACAGATCGCCTAATCGAGAGCCGCTCAACAGATGTGATAATTAGTTAATATACATATATCGTTGCATCTTGCATTTTCAATATATTGCCTTAGGGGAGCCAAAGACATACTCCGCGCCACGTCTCGCCATTAAAACACAACAGACGTTAGTTAGTTGATTGATGTTGCCTTTTGTCGAGTTGCCGCATTCATAGCATTAAATACGTACTATCCCTCCACATACACACATATCCATTCGTACAAAAATCCATCATGCTCATATAGTTTCCTCACACCAAACAGCACCAACATACATAATACATACATGCTGCTGGAGTATAGAGAGAGATTGATAAGATTATTTATTAATTAGTGCCAAAAAGTGAATGATAAAAAGTCATCGACTATTTTAGTAGCTTAACTTAACTGTATATAAGTGATTATTCTAGCTCCAAAGCTATCAATCCCCTTGTATAAATTTAAACTGCGCACGTCCAAAGTATTTTTATATTATATATTTATATACATATATAAATTTAATGCATACTTTTTTTTTTAGTTAGCTTTTATACAACGCGGCTCCAATTCGCGTACGCATTCAAATGAAGTGATACAAAGCTTAAACGCATAAATCGAGCATTCTCCAGTGAATACACGCGTAACATAAAAAAACAAAGAAAGAAAATAAAACTGAATTAAAAAAGAAAACAAAAACAAAAACGCAAGAGTTCGTTTATACGCTCTGAAGCCAGCTGGAAAAGGCCCAGAAGCAGAGGCTGACGAAGCTGAAGCTAACCAACGAATTGAAGGTGCCGGCACCATTGCCCGTGTTGCCCAAATCTAGCCTCGAAGACAGCTCCTCTGGCACATCCAAATAGACACGATCCAGGCCAAAACTGAAGATTAGCTTGCGCAGCTGCGCCACATCTACATAGTCGTTGTCTGACGACCAAATGGTCAAAGTGCTCTCATTTGTTTCATTCACAGCGGACACCAGATTGTGCAATTGTGAGGCGCTGTTTGCGGCAATGCCGGCACGCACGGGAAAAGTTATGGCCTGCCCGGTCGAGGTTAAATTGTTGTCATTGATGGCCTGCAGCATTGCATTGCACTGCTCATCGGTGTACTCGCCATCTCGGTAATTTGCGCCCCATCTGGTAGTCCAACCAATCGAGAGTACGGCCTGTTTGTAACGCATGCATCCGGCAAAGAAGCGTGCCGGATCCACTGGCACTGAGTTGTTTTGCTCCACGGGTCCACTTATAATGTCTGCGTTTATCCAAATGGGATAGGCCATCTATGTGGACGCATTATAGTGCATACGATACGTTTTATATTGTAGGGCCATGCTCACCTTTGGTATGATCTCATCCAGAATGCCCAACGAACCCTCAAATACCTCAATAGATTTGAAGTCCAGTTTAACGCCCTTCTCGGCACCCTCGTGCAGCTCGTTATGCGCCCTAATTTGAAGCAAAAAGTCCTCCAATGTCAAATCCGATATGGTTATGGGCGGATGCGCCATCACCGGCAAGTCTGGTCCTACGCCATTCAGCTGGCCGAGCACGATATCCGCCTCAATCATATCAATTTCACCTTCAAAGCGCAACATTGGTTAATTCAAGTGAAGGTTAACACATCTGGCCTATTGTTATCGCAAATGCTTACCACTTAGCGCATCGGCCAATAGCTGCTGGCTGTTGACGGCATGCGCCCAGCTGATGGCGGTTAGGTTCGCCGCCTTGGCGATGAGTTTGCCCTTGTCAAAACGGCCCATTTCTATTGTCGCATTCTGTTCCTGATCCTGCAGCACAATTTCGGCGGGCCAAATCTGTGGCGAGTGCAGCGTTGCCAGCTCGTAATAATAGACGCTGCTGTTTAAAGCTGCTCCATTGATTTTAACCACAAAGTGTGCTATTTAAATCAATTTGATATTCCAATTAAAACAACTGAACAGTGACAGTGACAATGCGAAATATATGTGTAAGTATAACGAGAGACGTTTCTTACCTTTGACAAAGTTATTTCGAATCGACGCTCACAGAGAATGTCACATGAATTGTTTACCCACAAATAGAGTTCAATTTTCTCTATGTATGCGTGTGTAGTTTGAGGAAATGTGTGTGTATGTGTGCATGTGTGTGTGTGTGCGTGCGTGCCTACCAGTGACGGTTTATATTATAACTTTTATTAGGCCGCCGCTTTCGGTTGCAATTCCAACGAATGCCACTGCAGTAAAAATGAAACTGAGTGCCATATAAATGAAGCCAATGCAATTTACGATGGACTATGATAAGCTACTGCAGCTGAAAATAATGACGTCTGACAGGTATAAAGCGCAGGCGCCGTATGGTGCAAGTAAATGCCTTTTCGAAAAGTTTAAACATTACCAAGCATGCAAATCAGTGCTGCAAGCGACAATGGCCCTTGGTAGGCACGGTGTGGATCTCTGCTGTTAATTGCCATGTTCTTGCCGGATCTAACCTTGCGAAATAATAACATTACCCTTTATTAATCAGTAAATAATATAATTGTGATAAGAAAATCAATTGATTAAGATTGAAGTAGTTTCTTTGTCTTATCGTTGACTTTTGATCATCTAATTAAAATCAATTAATTGTTTTGTTTTCAATAATTTGCAATTTTAATTTATTAATAAATGTGTGCTAGTTTTAAATAAAAAAAAAACTATTTTAAATGTTGTCTACAAATATGTTTAAACTTAAACGTACGCTTACCGCGAACTATAACGAATCAAATCGCATAGATTCTAGATAATGCCGATAACTCATTGTAGCGATACTTTTGTTGGAAAATCATTTATATCGATATCGAAAAATAAATAAGTTAAAGCAGTAAATTACTAAAGTGTTTAAGCAACAGAGCATATTTTATTATTAAGGGTAGTTACTGTATTTTACTATAACAATCATTGGCAAGTGATGGGAAATTATAATAGAAAGCATATCTTGTAAGAATAAAATTTTCATTAAATATCGCTCATCACTGATTGCGCTTAATGTTAAGAGTCTGTTATGGAAGCAGTCAACAGCTGCTAATTTCAAATTCTATCAAATAAATGTTAAGCAAATGTTTAACTTCTTGACGCTGTTAGGGGGCTGTTAAAAAAATACTAACTACAAAAATAAATGAAAACACCACAAAATTGTGCTTTTGGTGTGCCGTTTGTATTACGTGTACTGCTTAGCTTTCAATTTCATATTATCTATTCACGAGCGCACAATCAAAGACTAGTAGCCGCTTGATAAGAGCCGGCACAATCATTGGACACACTTGTCGGTCAAGCACATAGAAAGTTACAAATTCAAAGCAATCCAAAAATGGTCGATATTATCAAGAAAGGTGCGCTGCTGCTAATGAACCAGAAATGTTACGACAACTACTTCCTGGACTACAACTTCCTCGATGGTAAGTTACGCATTTACTGCTCTGCTGGTCACAAAGGGCTAATCATTTTTCTTTCTTACAGTGCCGTGCTTCAAGGCGTTGCTGAGCAAGGGTCTTGGGATCGGCATCATCGCCGGCTCGGTGCTGGTGAAAGTGCCACAGGTGCTGAAGATCCTCAATAGCAAATCTGGCGAAGGCATTAATCTATTGGGCGTCATGCTCGATCTGCTGGCCATTACATTCCATATGTCATACAACTTTATGAACGGATATCCATTCAGTTCCTGGGGCGACAACACTTTTCTGGCCGTGCAAACGGTGGCCATTGCAGCGCTTGTGTTGTTCTTCGGTGGACGAAAGCTGCAATCGTTCTTATTCCTGGTTGCCTATGCTGCCCTACTGTATGTCCTTAATTCGGGCTTGACAACCATGAAGGTGCTGCTCACCATACAGAGCTGCAACATACCCATTCTACTTGTTGGCAAGCTCTCGCAGGCGCTGACCAACTACAGGGCCGGCTCTACGGGCCAATTGTCAGCGGCCACGGTCATAATGATGTTCGCCGGATCTCTGGCACGCATATTTACATCTATACAAGAAACGGGCGATCAGATGATTATCATCACATTTTGCGCCTCCACGTTTGCCAATGGCGTGATACTCGCGCAGCTCTTGTATTACTGGAACAAGCCGGTGCCTGGTGCTGCCAAAAAGGAGGCTGCAAAGGCCAAGAAACCCAAAAGCAAGAAGGACGACTGAGTTGTGATTGAGTAGCGTTAAGGTTTAATACTTTCTCGACATAATTGAACAAATATTTAAAATAAATAAATGTATTAGCAAATTTAATTAAAACAATGTCTTTTATTGTTTAACAACAGACAACAACAGCGTTTCGCAGTTTAGCATTTCTCGTTCTCAAAATGCTGCTGCAGTAGATCCAAGGCTCTGAAGCGATGCGATATTTTGTTCTTTTCAGACTTGGGCAGTTCCGCATAGGTTTGTGTGTACCCTTTGGGCTGAAATACTGGATCCCTGTAAGCATAGAAAATCAATCAGATTACTTTCTCTTGTATGACACTGTTATACGAACCAGCCAAAGTCGCGCGGACCGCGTGGCTCCACAATGACGCCCTCGGTAATGCCTTGAAAGAGCTGTGGCTCAGCCGCGCCGTTTTCACAGTAGGCAAAGGTGCAAACGGCACGTGCAGATTTATCTTCCCAGCCACTCAGCAGTCGATGCAGACCCTCTGGCTGTAGTTTGTCCAGAAACCATTTAATATACGGACCCGGCAGCCCCTCCAGCGCATTGAAGCACAGGCTAGTGTCCTCTATGAGCACCGGTCCGTTTACTTGACGCGCTGCTTCTTTACATTTTTTCAACGCAATATCTTCAATCTCGCCCTGCAGCTCAGGCAGATCCACTCTCTTCGAGATGATCGTGCGTGGAAAATTGGGCCCAAGTATCGCGATCAGCTCCTCCAGCTTTTTGGCATTGCCCGTAACAAAGGTAATTGGTTTCGACATTCCTATTGTTGTCACCAATTTAAGCTAATTTGTGCGCCAGTTTGCCTGACGCCCGCACTCCCCTCCTAAAAACAATTCGATAAATCAGCTGTTCGCGGGGCCGATAAAGCAGGGTCGTTATGCATTTGAATTATCGCCGCGCCGAGCTATGTCGTTTTGAAACGACATAATCTCTCAACGACCAACGCCGGGCGGAGCTATGTCGTTTTGAAACGACATAATCTCTCCACGAACAACGCCGCGCGGAGATATGTCGTTTTGAAACGACATAACTCCGCGGGGAGCTATGTCGTTTTGAATCGACATAATCTCTCCACGACCAACGCCGCGGGGAGCTATGTCGTTTTGAAACGACATAATCTCTCCACGACCAACGCCGGGCGGAGATATGTCGTTTTGAAACGACATAACTCCGCGGGGAGCTATGTCGTTTTGAATCGACATAATCTCTCCACGACCAACGCCGCGGGGAGCTATGTCGTTTTGAAACGACATAATTTCTCCATGACCAACGCCGCGCGGAGATATGTCGTTTTGAAACGACATAACTCCGCGGGGAGCTATGTCGTTTTGAAACGACATAATTTCTCCACGACCAACGCCGCGCGGAGATATGTCGTTTTAAAACGACATAATTTCTCCACGACCAACGCCGCGCGGAGATATGTCGTTTTGAAACGACATAACTCCGCGGGGAGCTATGTCGTTTTGAAAAGACATAATCTCTCCACGACCAACGCCGCGGGGAGCTATGTCGTTTTGAAACGACATAATCTCTCCACGACCAACGCCGCGGGGAGCTATGTCGTTTTGAAACGACATAATTTCTCCACGACCAACGCCGCGGGGAGCTATGTCGTTTTGAAACGACATAACGCCGCGGGGAGCTATGTCGTTTTGAAACGACATAATTTCTCCACGACCAACGCCGCGGGGAGCTATGTCGTTTTGAAACGACATAATCTCTCCACGACCAACGCCGCGCGGAGATATGTCGTTTTGAAACGACATAACTCCGCGGGGAGCTATGTTGTTTTGAAACGACATAATCTCTCCACGACCAACGCCGCGCGGAGATATGTCGTTTTGAAACGACATAACGCCGCGGGGAGCTATGTCGTTTTGAAACGACATAATTTCTCCACGACCAACGCCGCGGGGAGCTATGTCGTTTTGAAACGACATAACGCCGCGGGGAGCTATGTCGTTTTGAAACGACATAATTTCTCCACGACCAACGCCGCGGGGAGCTATGTCGTTTTGAAACGACATAATCTCTCCACGACCAACGCCGCGCGGAGATATGTCGTTTTGAAACGACATAACTCCGCGGGGAGCTATGTTGTTTTGAAACGACATAATCTCTCCACGACCAACGCCGCGGGGAGCTATGTCGTTTTGAAACGACATAATCTCTCCACGACCAACGCCGCGCGGAGATATGTCGTTTTGAAACGACATAACTCCGCGGGGAGCTATGTCGTTTTGAAACGACAGAATCTCTCCACCACCAACGCCGCGCGGAGATATGTCGTTTTGAAACGACATAATTTCACCACCACCAACGCCGCGCGGAGATATGTCGTTTTGAAACGACATAACTCCGCGGGGAGCTATGTCGTTTTGAAACGACATAATCTCTCCACGACCAACGCCGCGGGGAGCTATGTCGTTTTGAAACGACATAATCTCTCCACGACCAACGCCGGGCGGAGATATGTCGTTTTGAACCGACCTAATCTCTCCACCACCAACGCCGCGCGGAGATATGTCGTTTTGAAACGACATAACTCCGCGGGGAGCTATGTCGTTTTGAAACGACATAATCTCTCCACGACCAACGCCGCGCGGAGATATGTCGTTTTGAAACGACATAACTCCGCGGGGAGCTATGTCGTTTTGAAACGACAGAATCTCTCCACCACCAACGCCGCGGGGAGCTATGTCGTTTTGAAACGACATAATCTCTCCACGACCAACGTCGCGCGGAGATATGTCGTTTTGAAACGACATAACTCTGCGGGGAGCTATGTCGTTTTGAAACGACATAATCTCTCCACGACCAACGCCGGGCGGAGATATGTCGTTTTGAACCGACATAATCTCTCCACGACCAACGCCGCGCGGAGATATGTCGTTTTGAACCGACATAATCTCTCCACGACCAACGCCGCGCGGAGATATGTCGTTTTGAAACGACATAACGCCGCGGGGAGCTATGTCGTTTTGAAACGACATAATTTCTCCACGACCAACGCCGCGGGGAGCTATGTCGTTTTGAAACGACATAACGCCGCGGGGAGCTATGTCGTTTTGAAACGACATAATTTCTCCACGACCAACGCCGCGGGGAGCTATGTCGTTTTGAAACGACATAATCTCTCCACGACCAACGCCGCGCGGAGATATGTCGTTTTGAAACAACATAATCTCTCCACGACCAACGCCGGGCGAAGATATGTCGTTTTGAAACGACATAATCTCTCCACGACCAACGCCGCGCGGAGATATGTCGTTTTGAAACGACATAACTCCGCGGGGAGCTATGTCGTTTTGAAACGACATAATCTCTCCACGACCAACGCCGCGGGGAGCTATGTCGTTTTGAAACGACATAATCTCTCCACGACCAACGCCGCGGGGAGCTATGTCGTTTTGAAACGACATAATCTCTCCACGACCAACGCCGCGCGGAGATATGTCGTTTTGAAACGACATAATCTCTCCACGACCAACGCCGCGCGGAGATATGTCGTTTTGAAACGACATAATTTCTCCACGACCAACGCCGCGCGGAGATATGTCGTTTTGAAACGACATAACTCCGCGGGGAGCTATGTCGTTTTGAAACGACATAATCTCTCCACGACCAACGCCGCGGGGAGCTATGTCGTTTTGAAACGACATAATCTCTCCACGACCAACGCCGCGGGGAGCTATGTCGTTTTGAAACGACATAATCTCTCCACGACCAACGCCGCGCGGAGATATGTCGTTTTGAAACGACATAACTCCGCGGGGAGCTATGTCGTTTTGAAACGACATAATCTCTCCACGACCAACGCCGCGGGGAGCTATGTCGTTTTGAAACGACATAATCTCTCCACGACCAACGCCGCGGGGAGCTATGTCGTTTTGAAACGACATAATTTCTCCACGACCAACGGCGCGCGGAGATATGTCGTTTTGAAACGACATAATCTCTCCACGACCAACGCCGCGGGGAGCTATGTCGTTTGGAAACGACATATTATCTCCACGAGCAACGGCGCGCGGAGATATGTCGTTTTGAAACGACATTATCTCTCCACGACCAACGCCGGGCGGATATATGTCGTTTTGAAACGACATAACGCCGCGGGGAGCTATGTCGTTTTGAAACGACATAATCTCTCCACGACCAACGCCGCGCGGAGTTATGTCGTTTTGAAACGACATAGTCTCTCCACGACCAACGCCGCGGGGAGCTATGTCGTTTTGAAACGACATAATCTCTCCACGACCAACGCCGGGCGGAGATATGTCGTTTTGAACCGACCTAATCTCTCCACGACCAACGCCGCGCGGAGATATGTCGTTTTGAAACGACATAACGCCGCGGGGAGCTATGTCGTTTTGAAACGACATAATTTCTCCACCACCAACGCCGCGCGGAGATATGTCGTTTTGAAACGACATAACTCCGCGGGGAGCTATGTCGTTTTGAAACGACATAATCTCTCCACGACCAACGCCGCGGGGAGCTATGTCGTTTTGAAACGACATAATCTCTCCACGACCAACGCCGCGGGGAGCTATGTCGTTTTGAAACGACATAATCTCTCCACGACCAACGCCGCGCGGAGATATGTCGTTTTGAAACGACATAACTCCGCGGGGAGCTATGTCGTTTTGAAACGACATAATCTCTCCACGACCAACGCCGCGGGGAGCTATGTCGTTTTGAAACGACATAATCTCTCCACGACCAACGCCGCGGGGAGCTATGTCGTTTTGAAACGACATAATTTCTCCACGACCAACGGCGCGCGGAGATATGTCGTTTTGAAACGACATAATCTCTCCACGACCAACGCCGCGGGGAGCTATGTCGTTTGGAAACGACATATTATCTCCACGAGCAACGGCGCGCGGAGATATGTCGTTTTGAAACGACATTATCTCTCCACGACCAACGCCGGGCGGATATATGTCGTTTTGAAACGACATAACGCCGCGGGGAGCTATGTCGTTTTGAAACGACATAATCTCTCCACGACCAACGCCGCGCGGAGTTATGTCGTTTTGAAACGACATAGTCTCTCCACGACCAACGCCGCGGG